ATAGGATCTCAAATCCGCATCTTGTACAGCAATTAACCACTAAGAAGAATATATGCAGTGTATTATTTGTTGAAACTGTACTTCCGATATGATTTGAAACTGTCTCATTGCTATCTGTTTATCAATAAAATTTTGAAAAATAAAATAAAATATCCCATTGGCTTGGCCAGGTAGGTCAGCGGACTGAAGCACTTGCTTAGGCAAGAGCAGGGGACTGGAGTTCAATCCCCATGCTGTGCCGACCCCACCTCCGGGGTGAGTTAAGATAGTGATTGAGACTGGCCTAGTGGCGAATGCCTGTTATTCCAGCACTTAGGAGTCTAGAAACAAGAGATTCACTATGAGTCCAATCTGTGTAGTGAGACTCTGTGGACCCTGTACTAAGTAAATAAAACATCTCCATTATTGCAAACCTTAGGAAATATGATTTTTTTAACCTAAAGATAATCTCATCTTGAGGATTTAGTCAGGATTTTACTAGAGGAATGGATATAGTACAAGGAACAGATATGACACAAGATGTACACGCCACAGAGTCAGATGAGAAAGTGTGCCAAGAGCATCTGCACACCACAGACTGAAAGACTCAGTCACAAGTTCTGAAGCTCACTGCAGTGTTCCATCTCTAACAGTCTCCAATAGTCTCTAATAGTCTCTAATAGTCTGTAACGGTCAGCCAAAGGGTCTGCAATGGAAGGCTGAAGGATCTGAGACTGAGCACTGAAGGATACAAGCTGGAGGCTGAGAGTCTGTGCTGGAAGCCAGGAGATAAAGTCCAAGCTGACTGTGAAGACTGAAGTTCCTCTGAGGAAATGGAATGCCAAATTCTTTCCCAACCCGTTTTGTCCCCTTTTTGTGCTGAGTTACTCTTGGGCGGGACACTCACAGCCCAGAGTGTGGAACCACCAGGTGATCCAGCCAAATTGACAGTGTATCAATCACTACAAGGATAGAAACAGCTTTTTAAATTAAACACCTTAACTGGAAAATATAAAAACGTTTTTTAGTCCCAGTTGTAATGGAGAGAGAACCACTCTATTTCCTTTTGCTTGTATTGGGATTTGAATTCATGACTTTGCATTTACCAAGTAGCTGCTATGCCATTGAGCTATATCCCCAAGCCTATTTTGTACTTTTCCTTGAGCCTCTATTTCTGGTGGCATGGCTCTTTGTATTTCTCAAGGTCAGCAATCCAGTACCTTTGTTGCTTCCTTACCAGATACCATTCACACTTGCATTTGAAAGCCATTAAATTTTTTTCTTTAATTTATTTCTATTTTTGGCTCAATATTTTCTTTTCAATATATAATTTTAATTTTTTTTACAAAAATGAATGAATAAAGGAGTGATATAAGAATCTGGAGTGATTTAAATTATTTGACTACATTGAACTATAACTGATTTTTCTCTGTATAGTCAGCATTGATGACAGCAAGCAAAACTTGAAGATCATTTTATATTGAGGCTCTGCTTCTCATTGTCACTTTCACTACATAGCCTCGGGACTGGATGAGCTAATAGCAGTGCCTCAATTGTCTTAGTATTGGGAATGCATTCCCTTGCTTACATTCCCTTTTCCAAGATTCAAGGGGGCTATATTCCTATAGCCATCACCCATGTGCACAGCCATTATGTGTGCCAGCTGTTGCTCTGGCTCCAACTGCTGAATGTTCTGTTTCTGCCTAGATTGGCACTTTCTTGAGCCCAACAAATTCTCAATGTCAGCAATGCACATAAGCAATGTTACTCTCAATATTGAGTTGTTTGACTGCTGTAGGCAATGAGGCCTCATCCTACCCTCACACTTATGATCAATATACAACTTTAGCATCTCCCACAAAATAGCTTTATTTACTTACCTTCGTTATTCCTATAAATGCCCAACATTCAACCAGATGAAATACCTACTAAGAAAGATATGTTGTCCCTTCTTGCACTTCTTTGTTCCCACTCTTACTTAAATAAGGAGCAAAAATACTGACAAATACCACAAATACTGACAAAATATACAATCACATATTTCTTGTATGAGGGACTTTTGTATTTCTTCGCCACCTAAACAAGAACATGGATAGAGAGGAATCCTGGCTCAGAAACAGAAAGGGACTGATAGTTGGAAAGCAAACAGAAATGAGGCCAGAAATATTCACTAACCACCAATTGAGATTATAAGAAAGGGCAATGAAAATGTGAAAGATGGAGGAGATGATATAAAATGATACAAAGTTGATCACCAGGATAAGGACGCTTTTGGTGGCTTTTGACTCAGGAGATCTGGAGGAAACATTAGTGCTATGAATGTGCTTAACCTTCTGTTTATGTCTGTACAGGACAAAAATCATAGAGCCACTGGTCCACATTGTAAGCACAATGAAACAAATCTCAGGGGATAGTACTAATCCAATATAGACTGAGCCTGTGGTTGTCCCATAATTTACAATAGTACAGAATCCCAGATGTCTTTTCCTTGTGATGTTTCTGCTTCCTGATTTTCCAGATGCTTGTAATGAATGCAGAGGAAAAATGAAATTTATCCCCATTTGTAGCAACCACCAGAGTGACATGGAGAGGCCAATGTACTTTGGAGCTTTTATTTTAAAAGTCTTCCAACGAGAGTTCATGGGGCTGATTATGATGGCCTGGACGACGCTCAAGAGGCACATGGTACAAATTGACATGGCCCTGCCCACTCTGAGGACATACAGGTTAATATTGCAACTAAATTGATTGAATAAATTTTTCAATCCAAAGGCTACCATTGTCTGGGATGGTCCCTTTGAAAGAATGACTAAAGAATTAGCTATGTACAGGTGCTTGAGAATCAAGTCTATGGACCTCAATCTGCTTTCTGTATGATGAAGGAAAAAATAATGGTAAATCAGAGGAAAATTTCCCAGAATTCCAACCACAGTTTGTAACAAATATAGTGTTCCCATTGCCATGTCCCTTAAAGCTATTTTTTCATTTTCTTCTAAAATTTCATTTAAAGTATGGTGACAATTATTTCTTTGACCAAGATTCATTGTAGAGATTTGACACCAAAAATTGCTTTGGTGTCTTGTGCTTGTGAAATTGGAAAGATTTCAAGAAGTAAGAGCAGATGGAGAGATTTATCTGCACACATCTTGGATTAAGCTGTCCCTAAGCAGGAGTTGTTGATAACCTGGAGGGGGAAATGAAAATATGGAAAGAATTAAATTCTAACATTTCCAAAATTGTATATACCATGGATTAATTCTGAATTGATTTCTGGTATAAATATTTAAAATAAATATAAAACATTTTAGTTAAAATTACTTTTGTGATCAAAGGACATGAAATTATTTGTTACACAACACCTTAAACATATGGATGAAATGGCAAATTAGATCATGTTAAAATCAAGAATAATTTTGTTCAAAATACAAACATACACAATTCGTACCTGACAGAGACAAAAGTGTAAGGTCATAGAACAGAGAAAGAGAAATTCAATTAAAAGGGGTGGGGGAGATGGCTCAGTGGAATAAACGCTTGCGTAGAAAGTGAAGGGGCCTTAGTTCAATCCCCTGTTCTGCTAAAATAAATAAACAAACAAATAAATAAATGCAATTAAAATATGTATTCATCTTAAATAATTTTTATGACATGAAAATTGGAAAAATGTTTCATCTTAATTTACAGTAAAAGAAGTTATTTAGTTGATAATGAATATACTGAAATTATTGTATGTCTTAATCAGAAAAAAACACCTCAGGTAAAAAAGAAAAGAAAAAAAACACCTCAGGTAAAACCACTGTGGGGTACCATAATATGCCAGCCAGACTGCAAAACTGAATGAGAGGACATAACAAAGTTAGTACAAATATGGATAAACCATCAACTTATTTGTACAAAATAGGTACAAATATTTTGGGGAACCATTCAGTAGCATCTATATAAGTTTATAATATGTCACCTTATGCTGTAATAATTTCATTTTCATAAGTACACTCAATTAATAATGCTAAATGCATTGCTGAGACAAAACCAACACCTTCTATATATTAGCACTAAGTGTGGCTCACAGTAGAACCAATTTTAAAATTATCTACATGCCCATTAATTTTAAAATAACCCAACTAACTGATGTTCATGCCATGGTATGAAACTTTGCATTGCCAATGAATAACATGAATAATATTCACATTTGACCCAGGCCCAGCGTATGAGTGAGACTTACCAGGGCCTGAGGGATCCTCATTCAACCCAGAGCCCAGGCGCAACAAGTAAATGAAATGCCCGAGGCCCTGCCGGACCCTGACTAGACCCAGACCCAGCATGTGAGTAGGACCGCTGGGGTCTGCTGGATCCTCATTCAATACTGAACTCAGGCCTGGCTTATTACCGAGACTACCCAGAACCTGCTGGATCTTCATTCCACCCAGGCCCAGCATATGAATGAGACCACACAGCACCTGCCAGATCCTCATTTGACCCAGAGCCCAGACCCTGCATGTGAGTGAGACTGCCCAGGGCTGTGGGATCCTTATTCAACTCAGAGCCCAGGCCTGGTTTACAGGTCTGGCATGAAAACCTGCAGCAGAACTCCCTGCAAAAGGCTAAAGAAAAGACCCATCGAACTCATCCAAGAGCAGAACATCTTGCCAGAGTAGCACAGAGGGTTCAACTACAAGAGCTGTGGCAGGAAGAACTGGAGCACAGCAAGGAGACCCAAGCCACATCCACCTGGATGAGTTTGAACTTTATAGAACCGGACCAGGTGCAAAGGTAATAACTCTATCTAAGCTTTACACCAAAGGTCAGAAGACAGTGCTATGCAAAATGACAAAGAGAAGGAGGAAAATGTATTCTCAGGCCCCGAGCCCACCCAGAACAAATGCAGGAGACAATAGCATAGAAAAATTGGAAATCACACACCAGAAATCTCTGAAATAATAGCATCAGAAGTAAAGAAACAACTGCAGAAAGGTGTAGCGGAAGTCAGATAAGAAATGATGTCTCAAATAAAAAAAGAAATCATAATTATAATGAATGAAGTATTAAGTACTTCTAAAGAAGACATTGATAAAAAATAGAGCAGAATAGAAAAATGATGGAATCCTTGAATATGCAATATAAGAAAGAAATAGAATGTATGAAGCAGATTTACAATGATATACAGGAAATTAAAACCTCAATCACAAGGTGGCAAAACCGTTTGAAAGAAAGTGAAAATAGACTTTCAGACCCTAAAGACACCATTGCATCTGGTGAAAAAGTAAGAAAAGATCTCTTCAAAACAACTAGGATAACATGGAAATTAAATGACACCCTACTCAGCAACCAATGGGTCACAGATGAAATTAAACAAGAAATTCAACAATATCTACAATTCAATGAAAATT